GGCAGCCACTGCACGCGGCCCTGCCAAGCCCAGGGCAGAGCCTGGATCTCCTTCCTTGTGAGAGAACGTGGCTGTACGTTTTAAAAAAACAACAACATACAAAATCACAAGCAAACAAAAAAAAATACCCAAAAAAAACCACAAAAGACTTTCTGGGCTAAAAATACGGAGGACACCACCAGGACCCCCGGGGTGCCCCGGGTGGCACAGCAGACGGGCAGAGCCAAGCCAGGGTGGCTCGCAGAGGAGGCAGGGCAGCAGTTACCTTCTGCTGCAGGGCTCTCTCCAGGGACTCCACCTTCATCTGCTCCTTGCGCAGCCCCGCGTGCAGCGCCGCGCTCTCCGCCTTGGCCTTGGCACGCACCTGGGCGATCTCCTCGTTGGCTCTGCAGGGGGCAGGAGACAAGGGGCAGTGGTCACGTCTGGGTACGCTCGCCTGGGGGCATCCGAGGTGGTTTTCCCACATGGGGAGAGCCTGTACTGTGTGAAACCAGCACAGAACTGGATTCATTCGGCTCCCCACGCTCCTGTATGGAACCCCAGCTCTCCCAGAGAGGCTAAACCAGTCCCTCACCCGCTTCATTTGGGGCTCCATGTGCTGGGGAGCTACTGCTCATCAGCTGAGCCTTGGTAGCTGCACAACCCCTTCACATACCACAAACCTGAGCCTTCTGAAATGTGGGAACTTGTTAAAGTGATGGTAAATAGACCATAAACCTCAGTTTCTCCATTTAAAAAAAAAGCTAAGCAGAGATCAGAGAATCCATTCAGGGATTTGTGCTGGCTTACTTACAGCCGTTTACAGTCACTTGAGCCTAAGGTTGTAAAAGGCAGCTTTTCACATCAATAAGCTCCTGCCTCCCAACCTGAGGAGAGCCAAACGGAGACTCTGCCCTACAAGGTCTGTAAGCACCCAGCAACCCCGTGCATGACCTTACTTGTCTAACTTTTCTTCTGCGTGGACTTTCAGGGCCTGATACCGCTGTTCTTCTTGCTTGACCCGGGTTAAATAATCTTGAGCACACTTCTTCAGAGCTTCTTCATTCTGGAAAAAAACCCAACAACATCCATGTGCACTGGGGCTGAGCACAGAGGTGTTGTTCTGATGGGATGATGAATCCTGTTCCAAGTGTTAAAGAAAAAGGGTTTAAATAGAACCAGCTTCTCCCCTACGCTGGAGCCCCTGGCCCCGCTGGGCTGCATGGAAGCACAGCATTGATGGAGGCAGGTTTCTCGGGGTGCTTTGGCCACAGCTCTGCCCAGGGCACGGGAAGCTCAGCAGGAGAGTGCTGGGGAGGAGTGTGGGGAAGAGCCAGGGAGCTGGGTTCCCTGTCCTGCCTTCCCCCAGCCTTCAAACGACCCTGCACTCGTTTGTTGAGAAGTGGGTAAGCAGCATCCAAGCAAGGACCAGGGCATCTGAAGCAGCTCTGTGTGGGATGGGACAGCCACAGTGCTGCAGCACGGGACGTGGTGGGGACAATGCTGCACAGGACCGGGGCTGCGGGGAGAGGACACCAAGGTAAGGACCTTCTTAAAGCCTTCCAGGACACCCTTGAGGTTTTCATATCTCCTGAAGAGATCTGACAGGGACCTCTCCACCGAGTTTAGGTCTGCCAGAGCCTGGTCCTTTTCCATGGTGAGCTGCTGCAGGTTCTTCTGAGACGTCATGTTTGTCCTCTGCTCATCCTCTGCGATGGAGAACACACAGTGGGGACACAGTGACCAAGTGGGGACAGCTGTGCAGCCAGTTCCCTGCCCTGCACGCCCGCCCAGGCGACAGCACCTTACCTATCATCTGGGCAATGGTCTTCTCATACTCAGCCACGATTTTCCTAGAAGGAAGGGAGAAAAAAGCAGGTAAGTGGCAGCAGATTTTTGCAGACACACATCTATAACTCTGCGGCCAGCAAACTGCCCTGGGGCCCTGCTGCCCCTTCGACAGGC